ACACCCCCCCCGGACGTAATGTTGGATAATTATTCGAGCAAACTTGTGACCTTGTTTTGCTTCGCAAGAATTCAGTATTTAAAAAAGTGAGACAGAAAACAGAATAACTTTGGTGAGGAAATAAAATAAAATCATAATATACAAACAGCTCTGGGAAGCTTCATTACTACTTCTCTTCATTGCTAGTATATCTACATCTACATCTACACTTAGTTAAGTCGGTAAAAATCGTGAGATATCACACCAACTGTAAAAACCTGAATGAAAATAATACAATGGAATATTGATAACTATTAACTAACTTTGATTGAAAACTATCTACAGACGTTGCGTTGTGTTCACAATATCCTCGGGAAGAGAGTTCCATTCATTGATTGTTCGTGGGAAGAAAGAAAACTTAAACATATCTTTCTTTGCTCTAGGAACTGCAAACTTAAAAGCGTGGCTCCCACTGGTTCTTCTTTCATTATTTGGTTTTAGGTGGGCGTCTACTTAAAAATCCGTCAGATTGTGGGAGAGTTTATAAAAGATAGTCTGGCGGTTTTTCTTCTAGTGGCTAGGGTTTCCCAGTTAAGTTCTTGCAGCACTTCTATTCACTACTACGTCTATTCGATTCATTGCTAGTCTTAGCTTCTATTCATTACTGTTATTACAGTGCATTCATTATATCAACCAGCACGCAACCTCGGATCGATCGTCTCAAAAGAATCTCATTACCATCCAAAATTTTAATCTAAAATCCTATGGCCAGCGTGCTTTTTCTGTTGCGGCACCTCACCTTTGGAACCGTTTGTCAGAGGACAACAAGAATGCTGACTCTATTGACATTTTTAAACGTACACTCAAGACATCACTGAGCTGGCGAGATGGCGCTATCTTGCGCTCTCGGGACTACCTGCTGTGTCCCGTATGAAAATAATGTTTTTTCCATATAATCTTTTATTGACCAAGCTCATTTGGTCAGTTTGACTGGATATTGGCCTCATTTTGCGTGTTTATGGACGCCGGCCTCCGTTTCGGTCCATAAACACTTAAAAAGAGACCTTGGGAAATATTCAGCCATCTTGACCTCACGGGCATGCTGTTTCTTTCTCTAGAATGTTTGTTACAGTTTCTAAGGTTTCATGTTGTTGTTTGGTGTAATTCAGAAAGCTCTGTGCATTGACCAGTCACCAGATTCAAATTTGATCTAGTCTGAATGCAGAGGGAGTTTCGCTTATTGATAGTTCACGCCTCGCGGCATTAACAGAGAAAATTCCGTCTGCGTCTATAGGTAGTAAACAGTATTTTGTGAAATAACTGAAAACAAAGCCGGCATAATTATTCATTCCAGTTTACACATTGTCCCCCCAAACGGCATCAAAGCTTCAGTTAAATTATCACAACAAAGTATGCGATGGTGAAGGTGGAGTAAAAGAGTGGAAATAACAAACGCGCCCCCCGGTCTATCACGAGGGCCCAGTTCTGACTCTTGAAAATACTAGCGGTGGACGTCAGATTTTCCGGGGGTTCACTGCCTTCGGATCTCTCCTCTTCCTTGAAGATGGATGCCGATGACTTGGTTTCTGTGTTTTCGTAGATGGAAGACATGTGAAGGCTGTGAATTGATTGGCTAACATCTTTTTCTGGCGTTGTCTGAGAAGTAATGTTCTGAAAAAGATCATGGGAAATCGATCTTAGAGGACCTACTTTCAAAACTTTTGCTTTTGTATAAAACTCAAATAAAAGAGACATGTTTATTAAGTAGTATTAAATAACATATTTTATTTCTTAGTTGGCTGGCCTGGAACGAAGGGTTATGTTGTATCAAGAAAATGTCAGATCATGGTCTTTTGGTTATATTTTGCAAAAACTGCAGAAATGTTTGCGCGCTCATTGGCTAGCGGGCAGACACATGAATTTATAATTTACACGAGGTTGACGCGACGAGCGAGAGCGGAAAATTTGATAATTTGTTATTGTAAAAAACAAATCGAAGTCCGTTTTTCATGCGTCTGTCCTGTTGTTGACAATGAATTTCGTCACAACATTCTCAAAGTAGTCTGCGGATCTACACAGCTAATTTGACAATGTTATGACGAAATTCATGATCAATATCCGGACAGACGCATGAAAAACTACGTCAATTTGTTAAGTCTACTGCTCGTAGTGTTTAGTTTGGGTGCGTGCTTGCAAGAGTTACACGGGCGAAGAGATAATAGCATGCGCCGTGCAACTTAAGATAAATATAAGGTGATGGCTTCAAACACAGTACAAACCAACCCTCGTGGTTTCAACCTCTGGTACCTCTGAAAAGAGAATTACCTTCTCAACATGTTCAGCTTTCTCTAGCTCTCGTTTGTCTTCTTTCAGTGCCGACCAGAAGGTAGCCTTGTACACTATTGCAGACTCCACCAGAGCAAAGAAGATGAATCCGAACGACACAACAACGAACAGCTCAGCAGCTTTCATGTAACTGACCTTTGGCATACCCTTGTCACTAAACTCCAACAGAAAGATCTCCGTCAGCACGGTCGTTATGCCCAGGCCCGCTCGGTCACCGACGGCCGTTTGGTCCATCCAGAACTGGAGCCAGGAAGCGATTGTACATGCAATGCAAGGTAGGTAGAACCCCATGATGAAATGTGGCAGTCGACGCCTTATTTGGAATTCTACCACAGCTGCCGTGTGCGTTCCTAGATAACAGTAAAGAACTGTTTCCGTGATGTTGTTTTCCTCGAGTTACAGCACCGTATATTAAACTTTGCTTGACTCGTATTTGAAAGAGAGGGAGGGAATGAATTTTTGGTTCAAGGTCGGGCTAATTGGTCAGCCAAATCCAATAGTTCGAAAATTTTAATTTATACACCCCGACTGAGATAGGCCTTCCTGAGTTAATGAATGTAAAGACTACCTGCAATACATTCAGGGTTTCTGCAGTAGTAGAAAGCGAATTAGAGTATTTTGCAGTATTTTCCAAAGTTTTATCGCGCTGTTCCAACATTTCGTGCTACTTATTGCAATTCTGACCAGAAAGTAGCATTGGGATAACAAAGCGTTCGAGCCAAGAGTCGACCAGGACTAAAGCCCAGACTTCTTGACCGAGATGCAAACACAATACCCACAGTCCACTACACTTCTGCACGCGCATACAAACGGTCATATCACTGAGACATCAAATTTTGTATCGGTGGCCTGATACGCTCATGTTCAACCTCGTTCTCATGGCCATGGGAACGAGGTTTGCTCATGTTGAGATTTGGGTGATGCGAGGCAATATTTGCTTTTAAAGACTGGCTTGACATTTACATTTTGTTGTATGATAATCTACAAACAGACCTGAGGTACCTGTGATAAAAGACGTGGCTTCTAATCTGAGAACTTGTTTTTCCACGTAAAACTCCGTCATATCATGCTCCCTTAGATGAGCTTTTATCCATTTATACTGCACTTGAGTGTCATCGTAACTGTCTGAAAGAATAACGGAGAAACAAAACGCCTTCATTTATTAGTACTCATCTTATGAACGTAATAATTACTCTTATGGTTACATATCTTTACCTGCTGGTCGTGAATTACTTCTAGCCGTACTAATAACACTACGTGATTTGTTCTTTCATAAAGCACACAAGGAAGCCGGGACAGCAGGAGAAGTGTCGGGTGAGGCAAATGTTTCCCCTTACATGTACATCCCCTTCCTCCTATTGATTCCTCCTCTTTTTCCCTTCTTGAGTGAGTACTGCACTATTCAACAAAACGTTTTTGAATTCCTTCATGATGAAAACAAATCATTAAATTACAGTAAATAAATTACAACATGATTTCGACGAGAAGCCACGTCAGCCTAAGCTGGTTTTCATGGGGATCCTCTATCCTGGTCGAATTGGAGTTTGGAGATGTTGGTTTTTGTGGAGGAAAGTGGCCTCTTCCAGGCGTTCAGTTAGTTGGGGCGCAGTGCGAAAATCAGCGCGCGAACTGAACGCCTTGAAGAGGCTAGGAGGAAGGAAAATTGGAGTACCCGGAGAAACACCCTCGGAGCAAGGCGAGAACCAACAACAAACTCAATCCACATATGACACCGGGCAGGAATCGGACACGGACCACGTTGGTGGGAGGCGAGCGCTTTCACCACTGTGCCATCCCTTCTCCCCATTCATCAAACTTTCTTGCTAATTTTGTGCTAGAGCTGTACATTTGCTGCGTGCTTTGTACAAAACCAGTGAAAGCGCTTGTTATATTGGTACTTAGTTAAAAATATCCGCTATTATTTTGTACATACAAGCAGCTATTTGGAGCCTCAAGGTCTGCACATCCATTGGATATTTTCTGAAGTCCATGTGACTTGTGAGGGTCGCTTTGATCCTTCAACAAGAAAGAAAAACCGCCTTGTAATATTGAAATACCCAACTGTAATGCGGTTGCGAAAAAAAACGTCAAACACCAATTAAACCTCTAGTCAACTTGACCGCAGGGCTTAATGGTATGCATTGGGTTGGATTCTACTTGCTGATCTTACTACTCTGTAAATTCAGGCCATTTTTTTGCTTCTTCTCCAAAAACTGCTAACAAAACATGACAATGTTACCTAAAGAGTAACGACAGCTTAGCCATAAAAGGGTCGTTGTGTTTTTGGAAGTCGAAACAGTAACTTATCACAGAGAAATTAAAGATGACGAGGTGTCCCCAATGATTAGTAGGTTCCCTGTAGGGACAGCCAGTTAGGAGTTGGCGCATGTTACTGGATTTGTTGATTGTTGTCGTCGGGAAGAAGAAATTATATTTAGACCAGATAACTGTATTCGCTGCCGCGAAACCAAAATCAGACAGTAACCTTATGTGCTATTGCATCTAACCAAACAAAACAAACACAAACAACACGACAAACCAACACGATGAACCAAGCAAAAATCAAAGTGAAGACATACAATTGTTGCCAAGAGCGGGAAAACTAGCATAACGTGCGTAAAAACTCCTTTGTGTAATTTGGCTGGCCGATGGACTCATGGACTGATAGACTGATAGACATACTAATGGACTGATTGACTGTCTGACTGACTGATTATGTGACTGATTGATTGTCTGACTGACTGACTGTCTGACTGATTGACTGACTGACTGATTGACTGTCTGACTGATTGATCGACTGATGGAGGACTGACTGACTGACTGTCTGACCGACAGACTAATTGAGTGTTCTATCTGATTGATTAATGAATCGATCGATCGATCGATTGATTAATGGAATGATTACTTAGAAATAACTCGTACACACCACTCTGAAAAGAAAATTGTTCCGTCTCCGAAGAGATAGGCTGTTCTTGTTTTGTCATCTGCATCGTGTTTTCTGGAGTTTTCGATCAATGTATCAGGATACCAGAGTTGCTTTAGCATGTCATGCTTCAGTTTGACAAACCATGTGTCGTTGCCATAGACAAGTCTTGGGTCCCTCCAGCTTTCCTTCAGTATCAGCTCAACCTTGTATTCCTTGAAAACGATACACAAAGTGTAGTTAATTGGGAGAAGAATGGCATGCCAGTACTCTTATTGTGGCCACACGCCCCTTGTATAGTAGACGAGGGGGTATTGTTTTACCTTTCTACCTTCCTACCTACCAACTTATGTTTGTGTCGTATGTAAAAAGCACCGAAGGAGTTCAAGTTGCCTTTTCAAGTTGCTTCATAAGCGGATTACCCTCAGTAGCTTCAAATGAAAATCCGGGACAGTAACTCTCCTGTTTATTTGATGGTTTTTTTTTACTCTCACCACCTATTTGCTTGACAAGCATTAATATTGTAAGGAGAAACAAGATGCTGATCAGCCACTTACCATTTGATCTTCTCTGATGTCGTGAAAAGAGTCGATGACTGCATAAAGTGAAACTGGAATAGGTTTATCTAAAAACAAAAATACATCTATCAAGGAAGATGACCAACTAAGAAATATAAAACACTTTTCCGTGTTGCTATTGTGTTTTAGAATCAGTCTACTAGCGTTCTATCATGAATGCCGTTCACTGATTGGCTACGCCACTCACTATCTATTCTGTTATAAATAGTGAGTAGCCTAGCAGTGTGCGCTTGTCACGAACTGGCGGCCGTGCTTCATTGCGTTTTCGAAGTATCTGTGAGAAGGACTAAGATAAAGTTTTAAACGGCTAATAGATTTATTCTAAAGCAATTACTTTAGTAACTCTCGATTTCTATGATTGATAGTTGGCTCGTACTGTGCCCCCTCGTCAAGTCAATGATCTTACGATAGTTATCTCCAGCTCATAATCGAGTGGAGTTTCGGGAGAACAAGAAACAGTTTCTCTTTCTTCAGCGCGCGCTACGTGATAATTTTAAAGCAAAAAGAACAAGGTGTGTCGTCGACACTTGTGCAAATTTGAACTGGCTCTAATGAGTTAGTGGTGGGAAATATATAGAGAGAGTTACAATACCCGGCAACTTGTCTTGCTCTTTTAATGTCCCAACCGAGAAATGCAGGGGATAAAAACTCGTGACTTCATGAGCTGAGGGTGGGAAATATACGTATTGAGTATGAATCCTCGTCATCTCGTCTTATTCTTTCGATAGCCCCCTTTATTATATGGCTAGCTCCGTGAGCGGGCAAGATGAATCAAATCCTGCGCTGTGATTGGCTACCCGAGCGTGCAAGATGGAGCTATCTTGCCCGCTC